TTATTAAACTGCTAAATACTAAAAATATATCTATTCAACTTCACAAAGTGAAAGCACATGCAGGTGATATCTTAAATTATCTAGCAGACAAGGCAGCGAAAAAAGGCATACAAGAAAGAGAAGTAACTTTCTTTACGGTAAACGAGATACAGAGAATAATGCTCAGACCAACCTGGAATACGCAACCAATCAATGCTCCAATACAAAGCTTTATCAAAATACTTACCCAAACATTTCACAAAGCAGACTGGTTATTTGCCTCAAGCCAAAAGGACAGTGTTTATCAAAGGAGAATTGACAACCAGGATTGGAAAATATTTAGAAACCTGTAGAAAAAGAAAAAAAAAAAAAAAGCAAGATCCTTTAAAGTGAATAAAAAATAGAGCTTCAGACTAAAGAGTCTAAGTAGACTACTGCCTACACTGTATCTATGTAAAAGAAACCGTGAAGATCTATACCCAACAGCAATTTGTAGAAAATGTAAAAAGAAAGTGGAAGACTTCGAATACCTAACATCCTGTGAAATAGATGAACAACACTAGGTAAAAAAAGAGTATTCAATTGCAAAAGAAATATGGGAAAACCTTGATGACTCTATAAAAAAGAAAATCTTCCAAAACAACATCTACTCGGCATTTGCGGGTAGAAGCATTAAAGACCAATATAAGAAAAGATACTACCTGACAAGAGGACTAATCGAGACAAACCTATCAGCCTCACTTATATCAATAAGAATCACCAAAAAAGATATAGAACTAATAATACTCGAATGGTGGGACAAGTGGCACAGCTTCTTTCAAGAAGAAATCTGGCTCCAATGATGCGAAAAAACTGTAAAATGGGAAAAAGAGTTGCAAATAAACTCCAAAAAAAAAAAGAAGAAAAGGCCCCAGGCAATAAAGAATACCAGAAAGACAAGTATACCCGATCAGGAAGATCTACCAAATGCTGACAAGAAAAGACTCAAGAGGAGGAAAAAAGAAAAAAACTTTCTGGACAATTTTAAAGAAAAAGTGAATTTAGTAACAGAGGAGGTAAACAAATGAATATGAACCGGAAGGTGGTCCAGATGAAACAAAAATTAAGTTAGATTATAACAGGCTGTAGATCTAGGCCGATGAACTGCAATTTCTCTATCTGAGGTAGATAAGGAAAAGGTAGCGAGGTTAATTCTACTTTGGCAGGTTGCACATAGGTACCAATTGGCAACCGGGTGAGCCACACTTTAGTTTAAAATAGTATACACGCCACTTTGGTTATATCGACATTTTTGAGACATTAGTAAAAAAATTCAAAATGTCAGTACAGTAAGTTATACCGATATTTTATATTAAATTTTTGAAAAAAAATGTTGGTATAGAAAGATTTTACTATAATGTCATTATATCCAGATATCGGTATAACCAGAGTGACGTGTAGCTATAAATAGATATCATATTTTTTATAAATGTAAATCTTATAATATAAAATAAAGTTGTGACATGATCGTCAAAAAAAAAAAAAATAAAAAAAAAAATAAAGAATAATTTTTATATATAAAGTAGGCATGCCTAATTTGGCGCAGTTAATTTAGCCAATAGTAAGTTTTTATAATTTGATATTAAAATGTACTGTTTTTTAACTCAATTTAATAGGTTTCATTATAAAATATAATTATTAAAAAAAAATAATAATTTTTTTTTAAGAAAAAGTGTGAATTTTATTCTAAAAAAGTATTTGTACAAAAATCAGAATTATCAAGAGACTATCCTTAAATTGATGCACTATCAAAATTTTAACTTTTTTTTTCTTAAGACGTTTTGTGCCTTTAGCACATTGCTTTTCTACATTTAACCATTGCTTTTCTGCATTTAACCATTTCTTTTCTTCTTTTTTTTGTCTTTGTGCTTCTTGTTTTTGTACTTTCTCGGCCTTACGTGCAAGTCTTTTTTGAATTGCCACCTCTTTTTTGTATTGTTTCTCATCAGCTACTCTTTTGGCTTCCTCTTCTGCTTCTCTCAACTCTTGCAAAGATTTTTCATTTGTAAGAAGTTGAGAAAAGAGCATAGTTTTTCTTCTTTTCCTTTTTGGCAACAGAGAACTAGATTCTTCTTTACTGGCTTCTGGATCTTCAACCGTTGGTGAATTATGATGCAAAGGATATTTAAGTACAAGCTGCAAAGGTATTGTACCAGGATTTTTGAAGGTTTCAAGCTCTTCCTCCAAATTTTTAACTCTTTTATTTAATATTTCAATTTTTGATATTAATTCTTTTTTTGTAGTTTTTTTTATAAGATGTGTTTGACCTGAGATCAACTTTGATGAAGACAGTGAAGAAAATAAAGATGACGAAGAAGCTGAAAAGAATAGGGAAGAAACTATAGAAGAGAATGAAGGTGGCAACTCAAGGGCTTGTGGAATATCAATTCGTTCTGTTGCCAATGAGGGATCTAAATGGTCTGGACTAATAGCATTGGGGTTAAACGGCCAAATCCCTGTGGTCTTAAAAAAATTGCATATTGCAGTAGGTGTATATGTTGCAATATAGGATGACCTTATAATTTTAGAAAATGTATACTTTGTCACAATCTTGCCATTGTTATTAACTTGAAATTTATCACATTCTTTATCATAGGTTTTTTTTAAGGTAGCAAATGGCAATTCTGCTGGTTGTAAAATGTGAGTGGTGTGTAGGAGGAGTGTATAAAAAAGAACGTTGTGCTCATAACAAAAGTTAACACTAGTGTAATTGACATGGCTCTTATGGCTATCTAAAATTAATAAAACGGGACGTGCAGGTAGAATTGAACTAACAAAATGTTCAATATATTTTTGAAATAGACTCTCTCGCATATACCCTGTCTCGGTAAATTCCATAACAGAGCTGGCAGGAGCACCATTTAGAAGGCCAGGAATTGTCTGTTTTCCTTTAAATATAAATAGTGGTAGAATGTACGTTCTGGCAGCTAAAATAGTTGAGTATAAGGAAATATGTTCATGAAAGTTGCTGCATAAAACCCGATGGACTTGACGTGTGCCTTTCTTTGCTACAACCTTTTGAAGTTTGGGTTCAATTACAAAACCTGTTTCATCCTTAAGAAAAAAAAAAAAAACTAAAAAAAAATAAAAAATAAAAAATAAAAAAAAAATAAAAATAAAAATAAAAAGAAAAAAAAATAAACTAAAAAAAAATAAAATAAAAATAAAAATAAAAATAAAAAAAAAATAAATAAAAAATAAAAAATAAAAAATAAAAAAAAAATAAAAATAAAAATAAAAATAAAAAAAAATAAACTAAAAAAAAATAAAATAAAAATAAAAATAAAAAAAAAAAAAAAAAAAAAACCATGTTCCAAATTTAGTCCACGGTAAGTGAATATTCATAAATAATTTTTTGAAGTTTGTCAAAATGATCTTTGACAATAACAGGATTTGCTTTTTGGGCACGGGCTTCATTTAGGGCTTGTGGAATACAAAATGAAAGCTTAGAGTGGTTATTTATAAAGCGCTTTCACCACTTTTGTCCTGGTCCATTTTCACTAAAAGAATAGAGTCACTTGTTTCTACGAATAATGTCCATGATGCACTGGTTTACACTAGTTTTAGTTAACACAAATCCAAGTTTCTGCATATTCAAGCAATAACCGACGAGTTGTTCCTCCTCATAGTCAGTTAGGATTTTAGCACGGCCTGGGTAAGCAGGAGGGCTATCGTTTTTTATTGCATGTCTAAGAGTGGCTTCCAAAAGACTATAATCTTTCGCGATACTTCTGGTGCTTGGGGTTTTAGAATAATTTTGAGAGTCTTTAATTGCCTTAAGAGCATTGTTAATTGCATTGTGCCAGGTAGTGTAATCACTATATAGCATAACTTTAATTAAAAAACTTTAAAAGGCTTTTTTTTAATTCGAAAATTTTAAAGGTTTTTTTTTTAATTTGAAAATTTTAAAGGTTTTTAATTTGGAAATTCTAACTGTTTTGAATTATTATTATCATGTTTTTTTTATTTACAAAATTTAAAATGACATTTAAATACAATACAGCATTACAAAGATTAACAATAAATATTTGTACCCGAAAAGTTTCTTATTTAAAATTTGATTTTGGGCTTAGAAACTGTACCCAGGTAAAAAATGCTATTATGTGATGTAGTAACTTATCTGGGTAATTTAATAATGCTCATTTCCCAACAGGTAATTTATCTGGGTAATTTAACAATGCTTATTTCCCAATGGGTACGAGCTCTTTTTTTTAATATTAAATATTTGTAACCGAAAAGCCATTTTTGGTTATAATTTAATTTATTTATTTTTAATATGTGCTTTATTTTTTCACGCGAATTGTGTTTTTATAAATGGATTAAATAATATGGCACAAAATTTAATTATTACAGGCATTGTACAGTAAGTATTCACTTTTACCCAAATTAAATCATCATGCTATATGAATTTGTATCATGTTAAATCAGAAGTAGTCACTAAAAGTTTATCAAAATTTAAAGTTATACGATATATATTAGTAGAAATACTTTTAATAAAGTATGAAGGCTGCTTTACTTAATAAAAAAAAACTGATTTTAGCATACTACTGTTATTTCTTGCAAGATCGAAATTATTATAGCTTGGTTGAAATAACAATATCTTGTGATCCAATAATTGGAATCGCATGATTTTGGTATCATTCGACTCATTTTATCGAGATGAATTAAATAGTACCTAAATCATGTGATTTGGATCGCTGGATCATAAGATATCATTAGTGTGTCAAATTAGGCACTGCGTCAAATTAGGCATGCCTACCTTAAATAAGAACTAATATTTTGGTTTAAATTTGTTTAAATTTGTTTAATTAAAAAATTTTAGATAGTAACTTTTTTGGCAAAAATCTTATATTGATTAAATTTTAGTTTAAAATATAAATTAATATAATAGAGGTGTAGCGGCTTAGTGAAGTAGTCAAGTCGTCACCCTCTCCAAGTAGCAGGTTTAGGGTTCAAATCCCACGGATGACAAAAGTTCGAAAAATAGACTTGCATTACAGTAACAAATTTTTATTAAGTTGGAGCTTAGAGTAACCTGTAACCTCAGGTCACATCAATACTCTGTATTGAAAAGTTGTCACTGTCGGGCGTCTGCGTACTGCCGAGCAGATATAGGATATCTCAGTAGTGTTGGTAACACTGAAGAACGAGAAGATTCTAGAACCTGCTTGGCAAGTCCCGAGTTGGGAGTAGCAGTGATCTTCGATGATATCACATGAAGGCTAAATTCGATCCGGAACCTGAGATTGGAGAACTGTAAGACCAGATCCTTTAGTGGGAGGACACACTAGCCGAACCGCCGGTTTAGACACACCAGAGGGAAAGGGCATATGCTTCGAAAGTATAAACCAAAGGGAGGGCGTCCTTCAGGTACCTAAAGCCTAGGCAGATCAACCTTTCCGGGTTGCCGGCTGGAACTGCGAGAGGGACCAATGAAGCTTCCGGATAAGGAGACAGCTGGATTGCGGGTACTGGGGTTGTTGTGAACCTTGCAAGGAGTACATAATAGGCAACTAATTAGAAAGATTGGGCTTGAGATACGGATTGTGTTACAGCAGCACCCCAAAAGGTGGCATGAGATACGAACACAATGGCGGCAGACA